CACACACACACACACACACACACACACACACACACAGAGAGAGAGAGAGAGAGAGAGAGAGAGAGAGAGAGAGAGAGAGAGAGAGAGAGAGTTTGCGTTCGGCAATCATGAAGACAGCGATGGTCTGTGTGCTTGTTGTGGCCATGGGCGCGTTTGTCCTTGCTTCGTCTGTTGGTTGTGGAGCGTCGGAGTTCGAATTCGAGCCTGTGTTCACCGGGGGCAATCTACCGAACGCTGTCGGCGGCCTGCAGAGATCATTTGTCCCCGGTGCAGCGAAGCTGGTCTTGAAGGAGGACGTTGCTGATGACAGTCCCTGCGAGGCGGAGTGCAAAGTCGAAGCGTTCATGTGCAAGGCGCGCGCTCTTTACGCGAAGGGAACCGCTATCAACCCGAGTGCAGCGCAAGTGCAAGTCTGGGAACAGGAGATCAATAAATGTAGCCAAGCCTTGGAAGGGTGCCATATGGGTTGCTCGCGCTTCTGAAATTAATTAGACTAACCCATCATCATCATCATCATCATCATCATTACCATCATCAGGATGTCGCTAATCGTCCGAAGTCTGCCATATGGGTTGCTCGCGCTTATAAAATTAATTAGAGTAACCTCATCATCACCATGATCATGATGATCATCATGATATGCGTGCGAGAAATGTCGACCGATGATTGATTGGAAAAGAGCGATCTACAAGATCGGTCGGGATCCAGACGAGGCGCAGGAGATGGGATGGTCGGTCTGTTTATCGGACTAAGTAAAGGATCTGCCTGCGATTATAATAGAGGAAGCGGCGCAGATCTTCGCTCTGTTTTTTTGTGTTTTTTTTGTTGTTGTTGTTGACGAGCTGTCTTGTCGTACTCCTCTTCTGGACGGGTGATTAAAATCCTGTCTCAGACTGTCTCTCTTGAACAGACACGTGGCTATCGCATTTGCCTGTTGTTGGACACTGTGGCGCGCAGTTCGTTTTCTTAACGATCACCTTTTTTTTCTCTTTTCTCTTTTTTTTTCTCTTTCTCTTTTTTTCCTCTTTTTTCTCTTTTATTATTGTCAAATTTATGCGGATGTCCGGAAGATTTGTGTCGATTGATCGACATGGGTCGGGATCGTGGTCACGACGGCGTGACGACTGGGGCATGTACCTGGCCATTTATGCGGTCAGATGCAAGGAATAAAGTTCCAGGCCGGCGAAGGGGCCCTTACTTCTCCTCTGGCATACGGAAAGGATGAAGGGAAAGAGTGAGAGAGGATAAAGGGAAAGAGTGTGTGTGTGTGTGTGTGTGTGAGAGAGAGAGAGAGAGAGAGAGAGAGAGAGAGAGAGAGAGAGAGAGAGAGAGGGTTTTTATATTACTTGGTCATATCGTTTTTTTAATTGCTTGTGACGACGAAAAGAAATTCTTGCTTCTATTTTTGTTTTTTTGTTTTCTGTTTTTTGTTTTTGGTTTTCTCTGCGGCTACTCGGCAAACGCATTCTGTTTTTTTTATTGGGGGGGGGGTGGCTTTAGTAGAGTCACAAAAACGAGTTATAATTGCATTATGGGGCAAGATACAGGTTGCAATTGCACTTGGGGCACCGTACCTGGCAAGAAATCTGTGTTGTATACATTGTCCGAACTGCAATTGCAAACTGTACCTTGGCCCATAGTGCAATTATAGCTCGTTTTTGTGACTGCGGCGTAGTTTCCTTTTTTTTTTTTTTTTAAGTTTAACTTCTTCCTTGGTATACGAAAAGTATAATTGGGGGAAAAAAAGGGGACAAAAAAAGAGATGACTCCATTGCATATGACGACGAAGAAAAATCTTTGCTTTTGCTTTTTTGTTTTCGTCACTCGTCGAGCGCCTTTTTTTTGGGGGGGGGGAAGGGGGGGGGTAGGTCCATAGTCCATTATCTTTGACTGATTTGCACGTCCGAAGACAGAGATCCTTGCTTTTTCGTTTGCTTTAAATTTATTCCTTGTTTTTTTCCCGTTCCTTGGTTAACGATTTTTTAAAATGATTTTTCCTGGTTCCAGAATTCCATTATTATTTCCTTGATTTGCACACTCGACTGTGGGCGCGAGTCGGCATAATTCTGGATTTTCTGTTCCTTCATTATTATTTAATATTTATCTGTAAGTCGTAATTTTCATTTCATTTTGGATTTTTTATTTCCGGCGTAAAGGAACTCCCGCTCATTCTCTTTTCCTCTCATCATCCTGGAATTCCTCGTCATTGGTTCGTCGGGCTGGCCTTTTTTTTTTTTTTTTTTTTTTTTTTT